GTAGTGCTGCAGATGTTGACCATGGGTGAATCAATAGAGGGCCCGCTGAAGCCTTTTTAATCCGAGCTCTCTTCCTTTAAAGGAGTCTTGTTTAAGGGGCTCAAGGTCGTCATTCCGAACAGCATGAAAAGCAAGACGCTGGATAGGATCCATGAAGGGCACTTGGGAATCGCCAAATGTATAGCTAGGGCTCGTCGCCTCGTTTTCTGGCCTGGCATGAACTCTGAAATTAAAGCATTCACCGAGAGGTGTGCAACATGCAAAAAATACGCGTAGAGCCAGCCGAAGGAACCACTTCTGATGCGGTCCGTGCCTGACCAACCCTGGTATCGCGTAGGCATAGACCTCTTTTGCTATAGCGGGAAGTCCTACCTGTGTGTCTACGACGCATTATCAAACTTTCCGGAAGTCGAACGCCTCCGAGACACCACTGCGAGGACCGTCGTCAACGCCACTAGTGCTATTTTTGCACGTTATGGCATACCTATGGAAGTGCTATCAGACAATGGCCCGCAATTTTCGAGCAGTGAATGCGCTTGATTTGCGCACATTTATGATTTCAAGCACATTACCTCAAGTCCAGGGTTCCCGCGTTCTAATGGACTATCTGAAAAGGGGGTGCAGGTAGTGAAGAGACTTCTTAAGAAGGCTACCGAAGCTAAACAAGATTTTCGGTTGGCTCTTTTGGCCTACAGGACCTTTCCTTTGGAATGTGGACTGACACCTGCAGAGATCCTTCAGGGCCGCCGTCTGCGGACGCAGCTAACCGACTACCAGTGTGGCCCTTCCCACCAAGTCGTCAAGCATCGTCAGTCTCGACCGTCCACACAGCCACTAGCTCCACTCCATGAAGGCGACGTTGTGCGAGTCCAGAGCGGCTCGTGGGCCACCAAAGCACGGGTTCTGAAGCCGTCAACATATCCAAAGTCGTACCACGTAATCACACAGGAAGGGCGCTGCCTCCGACACAACGACAAGCACTTGCTACCGACTGCAGAATCCTTCCAGCAGCACTCTGTTCCCAACGGGAGCAACGTAGAGCCAAGCACCTCGACAGCTGCGCGGCACGTTGAAGACACAGCGCCAAGCAATGACCCAACTACCGCGGGCACACAGAGTAGTCCAACGCCAGCACCCAGAAGGTCGCTGAGAACGCAAAGACCACCACCACAACGACTAGAATATGACCAAGATTTTGAAGAAATTGCTTGAACTCTTCCTTTGTTTTTATATGTTCTTCATTTGTTACGAAGTGCCACCTCAAGCTATCGTGTTTTCCGCATATGTAAATAACTGCACAGTTTATTTGTTTTCCTAAGGAAAAAGGATGTATCGTATCGCGCCTAACTCGTGCGCTACGCACGATAAGCTCAAGGGGCTTCGCCCGATCTTAATGCTATCGCGTGTTAATCAAAGGGGCGTTGTCCAGAGTGTATTATAAATGTGACGGCCTGAATAAATGGAGCAGCACTAGCTGTCTGACGCACGCCCCTGCTGTCACGCTGATCCCTGGTCCCATACAATAAACTAATAAATAATAATGAAATCGCAAGCCATAGATGCCTCAATATATGTAAAATTTCACTGTTGGCAGCGTCTCACATCCTGCAATGTAAGGAAGGATAGATGCATGCAAAAAATAATCACCACGAGATGACGTGTCATTATAGCGTCACATGATAAAGTCATATTACATCGCACCCTATCCCACTATAGTTTGTGCAAAGGCTGGCAGGCTGATTGGCAACGCAAAGTGGTGTCTTTAACCGTGGAGTCTATGCATAACCACATTAGTTGCAGAAAGTTTTCGAAGGCCGGCAGGATGAACACATCGAGTGATTGAAAAAACGAAAGAGATGGCTATCACCTTCGAGTTGTCTTACGTGAATGCATAATAGGCTCTGGATTATTATTATTATTATTGCTCCTATGGTGTAGCAGACTTACACTTAGGCATGTGTACGAAGACATTCTCATCATGTCAATGTTATATTTACTGAAACATGGTCAAAAAATCTATGGGAATACAAACTGTTTACTGTTTTAGATTTCCGAAAGACAACATGTACGTGAATGTCGAGATCAGCAAGAAATTGAATTAGACTTAGGTGCACGTTAAGAAATCACATATCGTCGAAATTTCTGAAGCACTCCGCTACGGCGTTCTTAATAATCATATAGTGGATTTGGGATCTAGAATTCCCACGATTATTACATTTAGTAGTAAGAAATTGAGTTTTTGTTGGCTCTAAAAGACTAACGCAATTTTTGTCATTGTGATGTGTTTTGACATTAGGACACGCACTAGAAAATCTGCGTACTTTAATCACCAGAAATACTGGTGCATGTTGTCATCTGAGTCTCCATTGCACACCTGATGCGAAGAGACATTAGGCTTTGCAGGTCTAATGTCAATTCAATGACTCATTAGGTGTGCATTTACTGCACATTAGACTCTCAAAATTCATTTTCATAAGCGCTCTTCCAACTGTTTATTTTATGTCCTTTACACCAGTATTATACATGCCCGAAAAACATACATCTTGCACATAATAGTAGATCAAGAAATGTCCTTTCGTTTAATGACAAAACAGTACATGGTGGGCTCACACAAAAGTTTCTAATTTCCGCTGTAGACCAGAATTTTGTTCGCTGGCGAAAGGTAGCATTTGTTGCAGGGCGGTGTTGATGGCGTGAAACAGATCACTGCTCAAGCGTCCAGCCTGTTTTCATCACATGATGGCGGCCAGTGCTCAGTCACCATCAGAGGTAAGTATCTACATTTCTGAACACTGTAGTATCTAGGAACCCCTAAGCTGGCCTCACCAATAGATGAAAACTGGTTTCAAGATTATGCATCGTTTTCCTAAACGTAGGTGCGACAGTAAAGACAATGTGGTCTATAGCTTCGGATTCTTTTATTTTACGTGTGAGCTGATACCTGAACCGGCCTATAAGGATGCTAGCTATACACAATATGCGAGCGCCCACAACTTTGGCAAATAGCTGCTACACCCTAAAAGAGATCCAGTATAAAGGGTGTCTTTGTCCCACAACAATAATCGTCATCAGGCTTGCGTGCACTTCCTATCTTGAAAACTCAGCGCTGGCAACATTCGTCTCGAGAATGCTATGTAATGCTGAAAACGCGCATGTCGTTCGTGGCCAGAATGTACCGGGCGCGCAGCGATAGCGGAAGGAACACAAGAGAGATGACGAATATTGTTAAGTAACAAAAAGATGCCCTTTTTCTCGATATTTTTCTATGGAGTGTATGAACCCTCCCGTCAAAAGTATTTCTGGCGTTGTAGATGAGTTCACGCAGTCTATCATTCAGACACCGCTTGGTGTGCTCTATACAGTAATGAAGTCCTAGTGCTGGATGAAAGTTGTGATTCTTCATATGTACACTCTTTCTCGCAACTTGAAGTGGCCCAGTGCACTTAAGTACGTTTTGTAATTCTCAGCACCCAGAAAACTAGGGGAACTCTTAAAGCCTACTTGCATGAATAGCTAATCACCTTATAATACGACACAGTATGTTAGATTCGTTGATTGTGAGTGCTTTGCGTAGTTTGGTGAACTAACTCACGAGCCGACTCACTCTGAATCAGATCGAGGCGTGAGTGTCAGCGAGTCTAGGTGACTGTAGGTCTCGATCCGAGTGAAGAAAGTTTTCCTGAGTGTGATCTCAATCCAAGAAAGTAGTGGTGAGTCCGAGTCCAAGAAAGTTGAAAGCGTGAGTTATATTTCTTGAGTGAGAGTGACCGGATTCTAGTTCTGTTGCCGACCTTTGGTACTGTGTAGTATTTAATATTATTGTGCGGGAAGTATTACACAGTAGACTAAGCGGCGTCTAAATGATAGACTACGCGAACGCCGCTAAAACAAACGAACTTGACTTTCAGCAGTGATCAGGTTCCTTGCAGCGCGATAAAATACTTGTGGGTGCTCCGCGAATCTTTAATGTTATATCCTCATCGGCTGGTCTAGGATAAGCTCACCCGACAAACTAAAAAAGCCGAAGCATTAGCAGAGCTGGGAAACTTCTGTGTGAGTTCACCATCCGTTGCTTTGTTGGTAAAGAAAATATCATTTTATGAACTAAGATGATGCGCGAAATGAGCTGCGTTCCGTGCATGTATAAGCTTAATTTGAAGAGCATAGAAGAATATTATTTTACGTACGAATGAACGACATAATTAGAGGAACGCTGTAGTATAGGGCTCTGCAAATTTTGACCATGGAACGTTCTTTTGCGTGCACTGGCATCGCACAGTACATGCGCCTCTACCACTTTGCCTCCATCAAAATGCGACCGCCACGGCCGGAATTGGGTCAGCAGATGAACACCGTAACCAGTGTTTCAACAAGGCGGATAGGGCATGTATTAAACAGTTGGCAGTCTAGAGTCTACCTTCATTTTATGTCTGTGTCCTGTAGTCTGCTCTTAAATGTGCTGCGCTTACAAGCTAAGTTCATGCCACAGAGATTCTTCATTGCGCTTATTCTCAGAAATCTCACTTTTGGACGTGAGTGAGAATGACTGCTAGTGTGTGCGGCTTTTGTATGCTTTCTTTCATTAGAGCGTCATAACCAATTCGATTCATTAATAAATTACGTAGGTTCGTTTCTTTTTGTAGCAAACATATTCAACAAACAGGCCAACTGTGCCGTTGGTTGTTTTGATCGTGAACCTTACTATAGCATACTGCGAGCACATATCCCTTAAAAACGCAATGCTATCGGTAAGCTCGTGATATGGTGTTTGAAAGTAATATCAATTACATCTGTAGTACCCAAGCTTGCGATAGGTAACTGGCTATCACGTAAAGAAGTATCAGTTTGTGGTCCGAGTGACAAAAACTTCATGCTGACACACTTCCTACGAACATTGTTCGTTTAATATGCGAGGACGCACTTATACATACGTTTCTTCAAATCATACAGCATTGTAACGGCAGCAATAATATTTCGAGTGGCTGCAGAAAAGACAGGAATTTTTTTGTGAAAATTTAAAGCAGCGAGAGTGCATAAATTTTATTTTTCTTGTGTACGTAAGACTGTCTTCTTCATAGAAGGGAGAAGGAGAGTAGTATCAGTGTAAAAAGTAGATCCAAGTGAAGTGTTGCACGTGTACAAATTTATGTCCACACTGGCTCGTTCTGCCAATTGTCAAAGTCCACCCGAGGAATGTCTTCACTGTCGCAGTCGAGCTTGGGATTCCTGCGTCGTTCAATGCACTTTTTGGAGCTATTCACAGGAAGCGTCGCGTTTGGCAATAAATAATAAGGCTACAAAACATTATCACTCACCAGCTGGTTTCTCGGATCATCACAAGCGGCTGCACGAACTTGACGTTGGAGTTGTCGCACAGAATTCTCGCCAGGCTTGCCTTTCGGATTTCTTCAATTTGAACTGGAAGAGAGGAGGTAGAGCACAAGAACTGCAGCGTTACTCAACCAAGTGCGTACACTCACGATTGATTAGCTGATTAACACAATTCGGCCTGCTAGTTTGTGCATCACTGGGCATTTAAAGGGCTCCACAGGGCATGGGGCAAAAGAACCCACACAAAACCTCCGCGCAGAACACTTACTTTTCTCGGTCTTTCGATCAGCGGTGGTATTTAGGAGAAGAAGAGGAAAGCGCTTAAGGGATGCTGTTTAGGGGTTGTAGCACTCAAAGGAAGGGTCACGGCTCCGTATATATGTTACGTGGGGGTGAGAAGGTGCGAGATACTAAACATAACTCAAGCTCACTAGTTTCGGCGCTCACTAGAGGGTGATCAAAATCTTTAAACTGACAGTGAGCGTTTTTTCCAATCTAATTTTTTGCACCTGTCCCGTCTTGAGCTCTCTTTGCTGCTTACAAGTTCGTACAATAGGTAGACGCAATGAGCCCCATGCAAACATTGAGTTTGTTAAACTGCTGCTTCAAAATTCTTATATTGGTTTCTAACGTAGAGCGCACATTGTGCCAACTCATGCTAGCCCTTTCAGGCTCAGTGATTCTTATTGCAAAAGCCAGCGTCCCCAGCGTGATAAGAGTACGGTTTTTGGCACTGGTATACGCTGTGAACACAGGTACACGCTAGGAAGTACTGGCCCTTCGGTGGGTGCACAGGGATATAGCTGGGTCTAACTTATAGGGGTGCTGGCTTGAATGCTGTGACGCTGGAGCTCACTGGCAAGCGCCGGAAACACTGGAAACGCTGGAATTTTCACTGGAGTGCGCTGGTGATACTGGAGCATGCCTTGTCTCTGCCAGTACCGCGTGCACGTCTATTTAGCGGGTGCATTGGCAAGTTTTGGTAAAACGCTTGATTTAATAGCATAAAGATATGCTACACTAACAAATCCCGAGAATGCATCACAATTTGTCGCTTGGCAAAGATATAAAATAAGCGCAACACATTCAAGATGTGTGATGCACAAAATCAATGTCATTTTAATGTTTTCTTTTTTCAATAAAAAGAAAGTTGGGTTAGTAACCTAATTCAGCCAACGCTAGGTATTCTTCTTTCTAGCTTGCTTTATTTTTTTGTTTTACACAGTGTAAATATTAGTAATAATTTTTCCGGTGCACGTGCATTGCAACATTTATTGCACTTTGTTTGCATGCCTCCCGTGGATACAACTTTCGCATCAGCTAAGTATTGCTGTAACGATTCTATGATGATGTGTTTTTAAGCCGCGATCTAGGTGCCACTCTTTTACATAAACAGCCAATCATTTATGCCCCCATGTTCACGCGACGTACGTGTGCTGGATCGATTACTTCACAAAGTTTCTTAGTGGGGGCGAGAAAAACAGCTGTTGTTCCATATCGCCACTCCAGCAATGCATGTCTGGAAATACTTGTCCATACTTCAGGTACAGTTAAGGTAACAGTAAGGAAAGTTCTGAAGCTAAAATGCAAAAAATTCAACCATTGCGACTCAGCTGCTTCGAGACCGTCTGTACAAAACATTGTTGGTGCAAACTTGAAAGAAGACAAAAGAGATACAAAAAACGCCCTCTCGCAACTGACTTTTAATAAACCGAAGCTCATCTTATGAAACCCTCGCACACGAAAAGCCCAAACAACTATAATCACAACTATCATCTTCACAAGAGTGAGCAAAGAGGCAGCAGGGCTGCAACCATGCTTCACAAGCATGTGTTTTTATCGTGCAGCTGTTGAGCGTCTGGACCAGATAACAACCTGCGAACTACAATCACCTTCCCTATGCCGGCTTGGAAATTCCTAAAATCAGCAGTGGATCTGTTTACCCGGAGACTTGTGCTGCCACTAATTCCCAACTTCCGAGGCATGACATCATCGACAGTGGCCCCGCCACCCTGCACGTGACGTCATACAGCCCTGTTTACATATACCCGGAGCTGATGATTGATTGATTTGTGGGTTTAACGTCCCAAAACCACTATATGATTATAAGAGAAGCCGTAGTGGAGGGCTCCGGAAATTTTGACCACCTGGGGTTCTTTAACGTGCGACCAAATCTGAGCACACGGGCCTACAACATTTCCGCCTCCATCGGAAATGCAGCCGCCGCAGCCGGGAATAGAACCCGCGACCTGCGGGTCAGCAGCCGAGTACCTTAGCCACTAGACCACCGCGGCGGGGCGTATACCCGGAGCTGTCGGACTGGTCGTTCAGTGAGCAAAGTAACAACAGGGCTGCATCGATGCTTAACAGACATGTGTTCTTTTTTCTCGTACAGGTTAGTTACTTCACCAATGTTAAATATTTTCAAAGTAATGAAGTATGTCTCTTGCCGCTGTTTTGCCCAAATATCATAGAAAGAGTTGATTTGAATTGTTCGTCGTTTTTGCTTAATCTACTTGTTCTTTGTGGGGACATTGAACAGATTCCGGGGCATAATCCCTCACTTAACCCATTGACTTCCGCGGCCGGCGATCCGCCGGCCACTTAGAAAATTATTGTTTTTCATTATCTTTCATAGATGGCAGCACATTGGTTGGTGTTTGCCTTTTGTTTGATGTGTTCTCCGCTAGATGAACATAGTTGTCCACTGTTGGAGTTATTTTTGTCCGCGTTTGGAGCTGTTTTGTGTGCGAAGTGAGCGAGGCGATTGCGACCGGTCTTGTTCAAAACATGGCATCGCGGCGAAAGCGTGGTTTGACAGAAGACGAAATTCTGCAACTTGTGTTTGACAGCGACGTCGAAAGTGACATTTGTGATGATGAAGATGTTTCATTAGACGATGGGGAGTATCAAAGTGATGAAAGTAGTAGTGATGAGGAGGAGGAGGAGAACGTGTGTGCAGCAGAAGATCCGCTGGATACTTTGCCACCTTCTCCAAAGGTGCGAAATATGGAAGAATGGCAGTGGGAAGAAGATGACAGTGTGGAAACTATTGTCAAGCACTCCTTCAACGGCTAGCCTGGCATCAAGAGATCCATCGAGCTTAAAGTAGGTGGAAGTCCCCCTGCTCTTGGAATGTTCAATGCGCTTCTTGGAGTGGTGATTTGGAGCATCATCGCGTTGCACACAAACGCCTTCGCACGCGAAAGGCAGCTTTTTCATCCTGACTCCTCATGGCATGATCCATCCAGGCTTTGCTTAGTTTGCAATTCACATGGCAAAAAGTCCGAGAGCCGGTGGGAGTGCGAAAAATGCGAAGTTGCACTTCACATGCCTGTGTGTTTCAAAGAATTTCACACACGCAAATCATACTGACTGAGTTGCTGCAGTAAAGCATTGCAAACAGAATAAAGCAAGAATTGTGGTTCTATGACGTTTCTTGCGGACTTAATTGCGATTTTTATACACCGCCCCATGCCGCCCGCTGGCGCAAAACTTTTGCCGCGAAGTGGTAGGCAGCACCGGGCGCGCAGTGCGCGGAAGCCAATGGGTTAACACTGACGAAAGCTCGGGAACTGACCATGCACTCCTGGTCAGTGTTTTTGAAGGCCAGAAAGAAATTATGCACCACATGGATGAATTCAGTACAACACAGGCTTCCCTGACTATCACGCTAGACCAATGCAAAGCGCGGCTAGATTCGCTCGAGTCGTCATTCACGCGCTTACCTGCTACTCTTGAGAAGATTCTGGCCGTAGAGACTTCAGTGCTTGCATTAGAAAAGTATGTTGTTAAAATCGCAAATAAAGTCGACGACCTTGCAAACTGCAGCAGGCGGAACAATATCATCATTCATGGGCTCGAAGAGCCATAGCGTGAAACTATTGATTCGCTTCTTTACACAGCAAGTAAAGATTTCTTTAGGATAAACTGAATGGAACAATTAGTGGCATAGAACGATGTCATAGGTTTGGAGCAAAATTTACTAGCAAAACTTGACCAATGCTTTTAAAGCTTATTGATTACCCCGAAAAGGTTTTGATCTTTAAGAATTCTCTTCAGCTAAAAGGTTCTAACCAGTACGTTACGGAAGAGTTCTCTCAAAAAGTACGTGACATTAAGAAAAAATTGTTGGAGAGCACTGCCAGTAAACGAGCCCGCCAGGAACACGTGACGCTAGTTTTTGATGAAATATCAGTGAATGCCGACACGCGCAATTACGAAAATGGAGAAATAACAGCTGTTACAAAGCGCGCTTTTTCGTGACATGAAAAGAGTTCTAATCCAATGAAACTATTGAATGTTAACTGCATAAGTATTGTAAATAAAGCTCTAGATTCAGAATACTTGATTTCCGCTCAAGATCCGGAAGTAATAGCACTTACTGAAACCTGGCTCCACAATGGCATTTAGGACAGCGAATTTGTTCTTCCTGAATTTGAAGTGCACCGTCGAGATTGCAACACAAAGGGCGTTGGCGTTGCGCTATTGTTCAAGAAAAAACTAAACGTTGTGTGCATCAAGGACTGATGCAATGTAGACGCTTTATTTTTCAAGATTTGCTGTGATCAATGCTTTCAATGCTGATGATTGTTGTCGTTTACAGACCACCAGGTTTTCATCTATAAATACTACAACAGTTAAAAGAGTACCTACAAAAAATACAAGTAGCAACACCAAGATTGTCTTATGTGGAGATTTATCCTTTCATATATTGATTGGTCTACTTTTTCAGTTCGTAACACGGATGTTGCTGCCAACATCAACAAAGAGCCAATAGACATTGGCTGTGACATTTGCAATAGGTCATAGTTTAGGTCATAGCAATAGACATTTGCTATGACCTAAACCAAGTAGTCAAAGCGCACACGCGCATTCAAGATAGTAGTATGTCGATTTTAGATCTTGTGTTTGTGCGTAGCACATTCCTGGTGAAATTCAATGTGATATAGTTGATAGGATTTCACACCACAAAGCTGTCTTAGTTCAATTTAGTTTCTTTACAAAAACAAGGAACACTAATGCAACTCGTGTACCTGTTGTTTCTTCAGCGAATGATACTAGTGTTATAGATAGATTTGAACTAT